CCTAAAATAGTCAGTGTTCAGACATCCGTGCTTATGCTCTGATGTCCATGGCTCTCAAATTGGGAGCTTCACATCCCTGGGGAGGGTGGCCATGGTACTTTCAGAAAAAAACAAAACAAAACCAAAAAACCTGCTCCCCGTAGGGAAAGATGAATCAATGGAATAATGCAAGTAATTGAGGTAGCGATTCAATTAAGAGGTACCCCACACATCCTATGGGGTGGGGAGATGACTCAGTGAAATGTCTGATGTGCAGCTAGGCTTGAGTTTGCATTCTCAGCACTCCAAACAAACAACACTCACAACAACAACAACCACCGGGGGCAGTGGCAATCACCTGTGACCTTAGGGCTGGCCAGGGTGGAGACAGGCAGATTCCAGGGCTTGCTGGAGGACAGCCCAGCCAAAGCAAGCTCCAGGTTCAGTGAAAATAAAAATCCACCAGGATCATAAAGGAGCAGACAATGAAACACTGAATCAGGGATGAAGAGATGGCTCATTCGGCGTCGATGCTGCCTCTAACTCCAGCTGCAGGGGATCCAACACCCTCTTCTGGCCTCTGCACACACCCACACATATGTAACTGTCACAGAGAAGCCTCGTTAGACATCTAAGAGACGGTAAGAGCTGGTGATGTAGTGTGTGTCTTCAGTCTCAGTGACTGGGGAGGTTGAGGCAAGGGAAGCAAGAACTCAAAGCCAGCCTGTCACTTCAACATAAGGAAACACAAAAGACAAAACCCAGAACTAGACACTTCCATCTTACAATTATTATTTCAGAAGAAAGAGCAACCTCCCAAATTCTAAGTAAACGAAAACAGAAGGGAAGGGGAGTTTTTATGAATTCAATGAATTAGGCCTGCCTGCCTTTTTTTTTTTAAACAGTCTCATTATGTAGCCCAAGCTAGTCTCAAATTTTCATCTATCTGTCTCCCAAAGCTGGGATTACAATAGTGTGTGCAACCTCACTCACCGAAATGAAAAATCTTGAGTGAAATATGTTGAATAGTTAGTTTGTGTCCTTAAAGAAACAGTAACATAATCTAGCTGAGTTTACCCAGGATAACTTAATTCAATGTAGGAAAATAGATGAATGTAACCTACAGCTCAATGAAGTAAAGGAAGCAGAAAATGGTATCTGATTACCAAATCAAGCTTTTTAAGAACAGACATTCTGGAGGGCTGAAAAGCTGGCTCTGCAGTTAAGAGCACTTGCTGCCCTTTCAAAAGACCTGGGTTCAATTCCCAGCACCCATAGCGTGGTTCACAACTATCTGTAACTCCAGTTCCAGGGGATCTGACCCCCTCTCCTGGTCTCCACAGGCGCTGTACACATGTGGCACATAAACACACATTCAGGCAAACATCCATACACATAAAACAGAATAAAGAGGGCGGTGGCGGCAGCAGCAGTGGCGCCCGCCTTTAATCCCAGCACTCGGGAGGCAGAGCCAGGCAGATCTCTGTGAGTTCGAGGCCAGCCTGGTCTACAGAGTGAGATACAGGACAGGCACCAAAACTACACGGAGAAACCCTGTCTCGAAAAACAAAAAACAAAACAAAACAAAAAAAGAATAAAGATATTTTGGAGAAACAAAGAATGAGAATTTCTTCTTTAAAAAGACATATTAAAACCAGTCTCGCCGGGCGGTGGTGGCGCACGCCTTTAATCCCAGCACTCGGGAGGCAGAGCCAGGCGGATCTCTGTGAGTTCGAGGCCAGCCTGGTCTCCAAAGCGAGTTCCAGGAAAGGCGCAAAGCTACACAGAGAAACCCTGTCTCGAAAAACCAAAAAAAAAAAAAAAAAACCAGTCTTTTCCTTTCTCTTCCCTTCCTTCCCCCTCTTCCTTTCCGCTTTCAGTCAGGATCCCCCCCCACCACACCCCCCACCAGTAGCCCTAGCCGGCCTTGAGCAGCAGCGATCTCTCGGACTCCACCTCCCAAGTGCTGGGTTAGAGGCCTGTTCCATTACACTCTTGGTGGAAAGGACTGGAAGCTCTCTCCCTAATCAAGGAGAAGATAAGGAAACCCACAAGGGCTACTGCTCTCTGCAGGAGAGGTCACAGACCACAGAGGAAGATAAGAAAAATGAATAGAAGAGGTACAAAGATAAGGGCAGAGGATACGACCCGCCAGCACCGGCTGCCGACGGAAAGCCGAAACAGGTCACTGTGGGAGGCTCCGGCTCCGATATGTAGCCTGTGTTCTAGACATCCCTGAATTAGGGTCTCAGAAACAGTGTTGATGAGGCTGGAGGGATGGCCCAGTGGTTAAGAGCTGCTCTCACAAAGGACTAAGGTTCCATTCCCAGCTCCCACATGGTGGTTCACAACCACCTGTAACTCCAGTTCCAGGGGATCCGATGCCCTTTTCTGACCTCCATAGGCACCAGGCATGAAAGCGGCAAACAGATATACAAGCAGGCCAAACATTCATACACAAAAAATAAAAATAAGTAAAAACATTTTTAAAAGAACATGTGCATTTGTGCCACATGTGTACACACATGACCGTAAACGGAGCTGACTTCCACATGTGTATACACACGACCATAAACTGAGCTGACTTCCACATGTGTACACACATGACCGTAAACGGAGCTGACTTCCACATGTGTATACACACAACCATAAACTGAGCTGACTTCTACATGTGTATACACACATGACCGTAAACTGAGCTGACTTCCACATGTGTACATACATGACCATAAACTGAGCTGACTTCCACATGTGTACACACATGACCATAAACTGAGCTGACTTCCACATGTGTACACACACAGGACCATAAACTGAGCTGACTTCCACATGTGTACACACACACATGACCATAAACTTAGCTGACTTCCACATGTGTACATACATGACCATAAACTGAGCTGACTTCCACATGTGTACACACACAGGACCATAAACTGAGCTGACTTCCACATGTGTACACACACACATGATCATAAACTTAGCTGACTTCCACATGTGTACACACACACATGATCATAAACTTAGCTGACTTCCACATGTGTACACACGTGACCATAAACTAAGCTGACTTCATTTAATTGTGAGTTTTTAAACAAACTTCAGTCTATCTTACCTGGTGCTTTTATCTATTTTTAAAATCTACTCACCTTGCATTTTTTAACTAGGAAAAATATTAACTTTATTTTTAATTATGTGTGTGAGTCTATTTCTGAGCAATGCATATGAATAAAGGTATCCACAGAGGCCAGAGGCATGGGATTCCCTGGAGTTGGATACACAGGAAGTTGTGACCAGTCTGAAGTGGGTGCTGGGAACTGAACTTGAGTCCCTGTCCTAGAACAGTATACCTCTTATCTACTGAGCCATCTCTCCAGCTGTGTGTGTGTGTGTGTGTGTGTGTGTGTGTGTGTGTGTGTGTGTGTGGTCTTTGGTTTGTTTTTTTGAGACAGGTTTTCTCTGTGTAACAGCTCTGGCCGTCCTGGAACTCACTCTGTAGACCAGGCTGCCCTTGAAATCACAGAGATCCACTGCCTCTGCCTCCCCTAAGTGCTAAGATTAAAGGTGTGTGCCGCCACGCCCAATTCCATATATAGTTTTAAAGACTTATTTATTTTTATTTTATGTCTGTGCATCACGTGTATGCAATGCCTACAGAGGCCAGAAGAGGTCGTCAGATCTCCTGGATTTAGAATTACATATGTTTTAAGCTGCCACGTGGATGCTTTGACTCCTACCCTGGGTCCTCTGGAAGAGCAGCCAGTGCCCTCAATCACTGAGCCATCTCTCCAGCCCCGTATTTTTCAATTTTTTTGAGACAGAGTCTCATATATCCCAGACTGGCTTCAAGTCCACTGTGTAGCTGAGGATGGCCTTGAACTCCTGACCCTCCTGCCTCCACTCTCAAGTGCTGGGATTACAGGCAAGCATATACCACTCTCAACTGGGTAACATTGAAAAGTCCGAAGAGGGACCGTCAAGATCGCTTATCAAATAAAAGGGTTTGCTGCAAAACTTAATGATTCTTAGGACCCACATGGCGGAAAGAACCCCCTCTACAAAGTTATCCTCTGACTGCGACACAAATACACTCACACACAAATAAATGAACGCGACTTAAAAAAAAATATTTGAGCAACACTTTAAAAGTGACTAGTTAGTAGGAATTTATGGTAAGTATGGTCACTTAATCTAAAAATGAATGTCTTTTGGTAAAGTAAAAATCTCCCCTCACGATGTCAAGTTTAGCATTTTAGTACATAAAGTAATTTAAAAAGTAGCCATATATCCCTCCATGCTAATCGAGATATTTCCCACTCAAGGGATCATGAACTCATCTGGCAGAACCGCACAGCACCATGAAAAGGCACAGCTTTTCCAGAGAAAAGCAGACCGCCATGCCCAAATGGCCCTGGGCACCATGAATGAATGCCACTATTTAACGGCATAATTGTGTTTACACTATCTTGATGACTTTCATTAAAAAGAAAATGGGGCTTCTAGGGAAAAAACACACACACTGGGCCTGGGAAGACAAGGGCTCACTTTATGTCTGAGTCATGGAGAGGAAAGCTCCGCAGACTTCCAAATGCCTCTCTCACCCCGGCCTCCTGGGTATCAGCCCAAACGAATCCCTGACACAGCTGGGCAGAGGGTCAGCCTTTCTGAAGGCCTGGAGCTGCTGCCGGGTTCTCCCACATGGGCTGGGACAGCTGCTCGGCTCCTTAGACACAGAACTCGGCCTTTGACAAGCCACTAAAGAAGAGCGTGGCCTCCTGGGCCACTCCTCTCGTGACGTGTCCGGGTCTCCCCACGATCACGGTGGTGACCAAGCAAACCACCTCAGGCCCGGTTTTACCCCCAGTGTGGACATGCTGTCCCCATGGCAATGACACAAAATGAAACCCTTCTTCCATCAAGTACCCTCTTGTGGTTACATCAGAAAGAGGAAGCTGAGGCCAGGCCTCCTCAGCGGCAGCCTAGGAAGCACGCTCCAGGGAAGTGAGACTGAGTCCCCTCACCTTTTCCACGTCGGCCTTGGTCACGTTGATGTCAGCGTCCATCTTCTCGAAGTACTGCTGTGCGCGGTCAGCCTCCTTGCAGTCCCGTTCGAAACGCCTCTTACTCTGCAGACAGAGCACAGCCAAGCCGGGTGGTCATCCACCTGCCCTGCCACCTCTAGAGAGACCCCCACAGGCATTCTCCCCAGAACCCATCCACCATGCGTCATCCTTTCCAGAAGTAATTTCAGCATCTGTCCACATTAGAGTGACCCCCTCTCTGTTCTCTGCACAGGATTTACCTGCCTCTACTCAAGCACTTTATGAGTGTATGTACCTGTTTGTGTGTGTGTGTGTGTGTGTGTGTGTGTGTGTGTGTGTGTGTGTGCATGAAGAGGTCAGAGGTCAACATGGGACATCTTCCTCAATCACCCTCCACCCTGTTTTAAAGATTTACTTTCATTCTGATTGCATGTGGTTGTGCGTGCATCTGAGTGGAGTGCAGACACCTACAGAGGCCAGAGGCATCGATCCCCAGGAGCTGGAATTATGGGTGGTTCTGAGCCACCCACCATGGGTGCTGGGTCCTCAGGGAGAGTGTCCAGTGCTCTTGGTTGCTGAGTCATTATCTCTCCAGCCATACACCTTGCTTTAGAGAGACGCCTCTCACTGGGTCTGCAGCTTGCTGATGGCTAGGCCAGCCGGCCGGCCAGTGAGTCCCTGAGAGTCTCTCGTCTCTGCCTTCCCAGTGCCACTGCACCCAGCTTTTTAAGTGGTGCTGGGGATCCGAACTCAGGTCCCCAGGCTCCCACAACAGATGCTTTACCCACTGAGCCGTCTCTCCTCAAGCATTTCTGGCTCAGCACTTTGCTTGCCATAATACTTTTAGAAGCAAATTAAATGAAATACAAATGAGAAAAATCTAGAAAGAAGACTCCTTAGTGGTTTTTGCTTGATTTTTACTTAGTGAGCCATGCAAGCCCTATTCAGAGTGATGTGAGATGGTCTGGGAGACACTGGTTTAGTGGCCGGCTTCCCACTTACCGACTCCAGCTGCTTCCAGCACGTCTCAATGTGCTGCTGGGCCTTCCGTCCATCGTGGAAGTTCTGTGAAGAAAACAGAGCAGGGTCAGCACCTACACTCCTCAAACTAATGCAGAAGGAAAACCCTTCCACCTACTTAAGTAGCTTTAAAAATTATGTTTATGTTATATGTGGGGCTGTTTTCCCTGTATGGATGTGTATGCATCACGTGTGTGCAGTGCCCATGGAGGCCAGAAGAGGGCATCAGATCCCTCGAGGATAGAGTTACAGATGATTGTGAGCCACCATGTGGATACTGGGAACCAAATCCAGATCTTCTGCAAGAGCAGCAACTGCTTTTCACTGCTGGACCATCTTTCTAGCCCCTTAGTAGCCTTTAGGTACCATCTCAGTGGACGTTTGTCTGCCTTGTACGTGTGAGGCCTCGCAAAGCAAATGAACAAACACTGAACACCTAGTCTGTGCAGTCCAGAGAAATGTAAGCGTCCATGCCAGGTTTGGTGGCTCATGCCTGTAATCCAACAGCTTGTGCCTGATGCAGGAGGATTTTCATGAGTTCAGGACAGACTAGAGTGAGACCCTGATCTCAAAAAACAGCCAAAGTTTAAATAATAGACAAGTTAAAGGGAAATGAAAACTAGGCTGGCCGCAAAGTTCCCTTTAAGGTTTTAGACGCAGCAATATTGAATGTGAAATTGTGCGTGGCTTGCAAAAACAACAGGACTGCCTTACCGAGACAGGGAGCCATCACACCAGATGTGGCACACTTTTAATCCCAGCACTTGGAAGGCAGAGGCAGGAGGATGTCTGTGAGTTTGAGGCCAGCCAAGGCTGCATAGTGAGACCCTGTATTAAAAGAAAAACAGACAGTAATCGCTGGGGTCATCTTCTGAGTGGCAGTGAATTCATACGTTATATTTTCACCTCCAAAGAATGAGAAATTGTATTTCTTAGCCGTCATCCTCAACTTCTCCTGACTTAGAAACTAGCTCCGGATATGTCACATAATGGACTCACACAGGCTGAGGACCTTTGTGATGGCAGGATGTCAATTTTAGATATATAAAACCATTCACATGTAGGGTGCTTTTTCAAGGTCCATCCTGTTGTAGTATCGGTCTACCAACTCTTTTTTTCTGGCTGAATAATGTTCCACTGAATAGATGTACCACATTTATATACCACTCATTGGTTGGTAGTTCAGGAGAATATGAACATTGATGCTATGAACACCACTGTGAGCTTTGTGTGAACAGACATCACATCTTAGAATCTTTAAAAATGATTGCTTTTTTTAAAAAAAGTTAATTTTTATTTTGTGTGCATTGATGTTTTGCCTGCATGTATGTCTGTGTGAGGGTGTCAGATCCCCTGGGACTGAAGTTACAGACAGGTGTGAGGTGCCATGTGGGTGCTGGGAATTGAACCTGGGTCCTCTGGAAGAGCAGTCAGTGCTCCAGTCCCCTTTAAAAATGTTCTATTATTATTGTGTTTAGGTGTGCATATGATGTGTGGTGGGACTGTGGAGGCTACAGTGTGTGTGGAGGCCGGAGGACAGCTTGCTAGGGTTTGTTCTCTTCCCAATGTATGGATGCCTAGGGATCGAACTGCGGCCTGAGCTACCTCACCAGCCCTAGGATCTTTTTAAACAGAAGGCCTCAGGGCAGGCATGCGACTGCTATTACCCTCCAAGGACCCCAGGGAGCCAGAGCAGGGCAAGCTGCTAGAAGGGGAGGAGATGGGCTCAGTGAGGCACACGGCGGCTCAGGGGTCTGACTGAGCACCAGACTGTGGGTGACGTGAAGGAAGACCCCAGAATGGCGGCTGTGACCTGGTGAGTCAAGCTCTACAAACACTCTACCAAGGCCCCACCCCCAGCCACACGGGTGTCTTTTGACTGGCAGCACAGGATCAGACATGAATTAACAAGAAGTCTGGGTCTTCCAGGTGCCTCAGCGGATAAAAGCGCTTGCTGTCAGAAACAAAACCCAGAGTTTGATCCCGGGGTCCTACACGGTGGAAGGAGAGAACCAATTTCTCAAAGCTGTCCTCTGACCTCCTTACATGTGCCATCCGAGTGTGTACACATGTTCTGGGTCCTGGGCCCTAACTTGAAGAGAACTTATCGGGTCCCACATGGTAGGAGGAGAATCCAAATCCATAGAGCTGCCCTGACCTCCACCGGTACATCATGACACACATGCCCCACCCCCATAAATCAAGTTTTTTGTTTTGTTTTGTTTTTAAAGTCCAGGATGACCCTGTATTTGGCCTGAGTTTCAGAAGGAGGAAAGAAGGGGAGCCACGGCATGAGGAGTGTAAATAGATCTGCAGTGTTAAGGTTGGTATTTCTACAAGATTCTAACATCCAGTCCATTGTGGCCTGGGTCTGAGTGCTGGGAAGAGCTGGCATGAAGCCTCACGGTAAGGTGGGTGGTTAAAGCCAGGAGACCACCAAGGATGAACGCTCTGGAAAAAGAAAATGCTACCGACTGACAAAGGAAACGGCGCCTGTCACTCGGCATCCTAAAATCACCAGTTCCCTTTAACATGCTTCCACCAGACACTAACTGGATCAGTGGACCTTGTCTGTATGGCCAGAGGCTGCAGGGCCTGTGCAGGTGAAGGGCCCTGCCCTCTGGCTCTGATTAAATTTGCTGCCTGTAGCTGCCCGGTCAGCTTCTGGTTTGCCTGAGTCCCTTGACCAAGGACACAGTAAACTCTGAGCCCCTACAGGTTCACTCTTGACTTGGAGGACAAGGGACATTAGCAGCTCCACCTGGTTTCCCTGGCAAACGTCCTTCTGTGTGTACTCACAAGTGCGTCCCTTGGGAGGCCAGAGGTGAAAGTTAAGTGTCTTCCTCCATCATTCTCCACCTTAATTTTTGAGACCCTGGAGCTCACTGGTTCTGCTGGACTGGCTGGTCAGTGAGGTCCTGGGAGCCGCCCACTTCTGCTTCCCATGGCTGGGTTACAGGTGTGCACCGCCACACGGGGTTAAGGGTGCTAGGGACCCAAACTCAGGTCCTCACCTTTATAACGCAAATGGCTAACCCACTGAGCCATCTTCGAGGCCCCTAAATGCTCCTTTAATAACCTTTCTCTTGTTAGCCAGTCTGAGGCCTGCTTCTAGACTGATGAGGTACACTGCCTGGAAGTGACTCACAGAAAGTACCAGGTCCCCAACATCCTCCCCCAAGCCACACCTTGAGCCTCCCCTAGTCAGACCTACAACTCAGCAGTCTCGGGACAGTCAAGCGCCAGAGAAGGCTGGAGAGGGGCCAAGGACAGCCTTTTGCCCAAACAATGATACTTTATTACAAGGGTAAGTGTTTTTGTCTCTAGCGGTCAGGTGTCACCATTCTGGGTTCTTCTGCAGTTAAGTTCTGACCATCCTACAAAATTTTTTAAAGATTAAACTTTTTTTTATTTCAATTTTATGTGTCCAAGCATTTTGTGTGCATGTATTTTGTGTATCACTTGCATGCCTGGTACCCAAGGAGGTCAGAAGAAGGCTTTGGAATCCCCTAGACTGTAGTTATAGACAGTGTGAGCTTTCATGTGAACACCAGGAACCAAATCCAAGTCCTCTACAGATGCTCTCAACTGGGAAACCATCCCTCCAGTCCCATCCTTCATTTTTTTAGTCTCTACAAACTCTAAGGTCTTGTCCCTTGGGCCTTCACTTTTTAATCTCACAATGGAGGTGGGGGGGGGATGGGGGCGGGGATGACAGAGCCCTGGGATGACAGAGCCCGGGGATGACAGAGCCCGAGGATGACAGAGCCCGGGGATGACAGAGCCCTGGGATCACAGAGCCCAAGGCTGAGAGTAAAGGAGCTAAGGGCAAGGCTGAGGGAGAGCCAGGCAGTTTGCTGATTGCAGGGTGCAAACAGCCCTGCTGGGGAGGACAGACAGGAAGCTATGCACAGTTCTGTGGAAAGGAAGGAGTGGAGGCCAGGAAGAAGGCGGAGGGGTGTCCTCAGGGGGAAGACAGAGGCAGACAGGAAGGAAATAAGGATCCTTTCACACCGTGCCCTGTCAGTGACACGCTTTGGGTTCCCTAAATTCCCTACCTGAGGCCTTCTCTCTACAGAGGACATCAGTTCCCGTTCCCAAGCAGGACAGCAGTGTTCTGCTGCACGCTCAAAAGGTCTCAGTGACTTGAGATTCAATGATGGAGCCAACAGGTGGCATACAAATGTAATCCCTAACTCCATAGGCAGAAGCAGGAAGACAGTAGTTCAAGACCTGCCTGTGCAACTTAGTATAACCCTGTCTCGAGATAATAAGTAAAAAGAGGGCTGGAGATACAGCTCAGTGCAGTGGTTCTCAAACTGTGAGTTGCGACCCTTTGGGGAGGTCAAATGACTCTTTCACAGGGGTCTCAATATCAGATATCCTACATATCAGATATTTACATTATGATTTGTAATAGTAACAAAATTACAATTATGAAGTAACAATGAAATAACTTTATGGTTGGGGTCACCAAAACGTGAGGAACTGTATTAAAGAGTTGCAGCATTAGGAAGGTTGAGAGCCACTGGTCTCGTGGTAAAGTGTTTGCTTAAATGGGTTCAACACCCAGCACCACCCCCTAACAATACAGACACAGATAAGAATAAAATGGATAAGCAGATAAGTAAAATAAAAATGAACGGTTGAGGCTGGAGGGACGGCTCAGCAGTACTGCACTTGGCAGAAGACCTGAGTTCCGTCCCCAGCACCCACGCCAGGGGGCTCACCACTGCCTATAACTCCAGCTGCAGAGGATCCAACACCCTCTCCTGGGCCTCTGCAGCCACTGTACTCATGTGCACAGACACACACAATTTAAAAACAATAAAAATAGCCAGGCGTAGCCGGGCGGTGGTGGCACACGCCTTTAATCCCAACACTCGGGAGGCAGAGGCAGGCAGATCTCTGTGAGTTGGAGGCCAACCTGGTCTACAAAGCGATGATCCAGGAAAGGCGCAAAGCTACACAGAGAAACCCTGTCTCGGGAAAAAAACAAAAACAAAAACAAAACAAAAACAACAACAAAAAAAAGCCAGGCGTGA